TGAGAGGAAGAAGATGCTATTATTATGTTGAGGACGTGGGGCCGGAGATGGGCTCAACTACAATTAGTAAGCAAGGGGTAGTTTCACAAAGGGACCTATCAGTTTATTATTTTACTCTAAACCTGAAGTTGTGGATAGAGACAAGAAGCATAATCTTAAAGAGAACCACTTTGAGAAGGAACATAAGGTCGGGCCTGTCAATACATAGCCCAATGGATGCACCAAGCAGGCATTTCTATCAATACCACTAGACTGACAAGCTTCCAAGCTATGTCTGAGGAGTGTAGTAGTTTGGGCCTGGTTTAAGGCTCCTACAGATTAAGAGCTCTGGGAACCTTTGCTCACAAACGAGTATCCAAAAGGCCTGCAAGGATACATGGGGAAGTATGACGTCACAAAAATGAATGATTCATGAACTAATAAGAACGGAAGAAGTATCATGAACTACATGATGAAGTGTCTAATGAGGACAATGTCTTTGAAGCCTGTTGATTTATGCGAGGTAACTTACAACACAAACCCATTTTCAGCACAGTAGACCAATTTAAGAGGAGGTAAGTGAGCAGGATGTTATTCGACTACCACACTGTTATTGGAGAAGAGGTTGCACATTTTCTGGGCATCATGTGCAGCATGGCATTGACCTTATGCAGGCGATTGCTAAGTAGAAAATTGTGATTTTTATGAGAGAAAGTAGACAATTGTGACTTGACAATTAAGGAGGCAAAAGCCATTATTGTTTTCATGTACAACTACACACAAATCCTGGCCATGCTGAGTAAGTTCACAGAAGAATGGAGCTGGTGAGTAAGGTGTGATAGGGTTTGTCACTCTTATAAGTCCCTTAAGACAATATTAGCCCAAAAAGACAAGCTCAAGGCCATATTTGTCTCTAAAAGCCCAAGAGCATGGGTCCAAGCACACAGAGGAAGAGTGTAGTATTGTTTTGCATCCCATTGGAATGGGTTATTCTACTCCCTCTAAGTATTTGATCCTTCGTTGAAAATCCTACACAGTGGATACTGAGAAGTAAACACCCATTTATCATATTTACAAGGCAGTTGAAGTTGCTATGGAACAGATATCAAAGAATTATGGCACAATAAGAGGAAGTAAACACAATTTTGAAGATTGTAGATGACAAGTAGAATAGCCAACTACATAGGCCCTTACATGTAGTTGCAGGGTACTTTATCCACCCTGCTTATCTTTATAATGATTATGAGAATGATTCCAAGGTTTGGATCATGGATGGATCCAACATGTGCAATATGAGACTCAAACTCGACATGGACCTACGAGACCATAAAATGATAAAAGTTGAATAAGCTTAATGAAGTCACATGGTACAGATAAAGCAATACTGCAGAAGTTTAAAATTCATCCAAGAAATTTTTGTACTTTTCATTGTAAGTTTATGATTTCAGTACTTGATTTATACAACAATAGATATAAAATAGTAAATTAGTAATACAAGTATAGTATAATAGTAAGTTAGTAATATAATTACAATATAGTACTACAATTATACTTCTATACTTTATAAATTTGTCTACAATAAACGTCATTGCTGTGTTATGTAGTTCTATTGTGGTACATACATGGGGGGAAAAGACCTGCACTTGCAAAGCATAGCCCTATGCAGCCACTAAAACTTCAAGGAAGAGCTCAAGGACAATAGAAGAGGAGGAGGCTGAACCTGAGGAGAATGAGGATAAGAGCACTATGTAGAGAAGGGGGATAACTAGGATGATGGCGGCTTGGCATTAGATGCAAGTGATACTGTGAAAGTAATGATGGAGATTGTGATGATGATCATCTGGAGGCTACAGACCTCGACAAGGAATCTCAGATTGTACTATGATTTTTTTTTTCTTGTTTTCATTTGGAACTTGGGAGTGGACTCACAGATCCTCTGATACCTTTCGTAATTCGCATAACATGGCAAGTATATGTTTAATCCATAAGGCCTATACCGACTTATGGTCTACAAATCCGTAGTTACTATGTTAGAAGTATTTGTTATTTTATTTCTAGTTCAATTTAGAAGTTTATGTAAGTTTTTCTAGATTTTAAGTTCCAAACTGACATCTATAAACTAAAGGACAATCTATAAACTAAAGGACACAAAACAAAGTCAAATATGCTTTTCATCTCTAATAAAGTCATATCTATGGGGTTTGGTATTAAATCCAACCCCTCCCCCCCCCACCAAAAATAAAAACTCATTGTTTTTGAAGTGCATCCCCCTTCCCCCCCCCACCAAAAATAAAAACTCATTGTTTTTGAAGTGCATCAGTCATGAGGCTCTTGCTTCGGAGGCCAAGGCGCTCCTTTAAAACACAGGTCTAACTTAGCCATGCCTAAAGACAACATCCAGAAATAAACAACAATATAAATGATCTAGAGCTAAAGCCAATAAAAGAAAACATACCTTTCTTAAAGAATATTACTATTATACTGATCCAGAAGTGAACGAATCATGTAGCCAAATCTAATGGAACAGGAAAAAGATTAGCTAACCAACCTGCTAAACCTAATCATTCTAATAACTGACATTTTCAGTGTTTCACCAATTTTCATTTAGAAATATGGTTCCACATGTTAAGAGTTGGTAGAAATATTGTAATGTATCACTAGATTAACAAATAGAAACAATTTCTATCTTGGGCAGAAACAGGGGAAGAGATCTTGGACAGAAACAAGGGAAGGGCGTCTTAATCTTAACGCACCCTAGAAACACTGCAGGAGGGTTGACTGCTGTTTGGGATTTTCGGGATTGATAGAAAATCCCCCTAATTAATATTAAAAAATAGAAAAGCCCCCTAATTAATATTAAAAAATAGAAAAGTCCCCCTAATTAATATTAAAAAATTCCCCTAATTAATATTAAAAATCCCCCTAATTAATATCAAAATCCCCCTAATTAATATTAAAAAATAGAAAATCCACCTAATTATGATTTTTATTAAGAAAGCAAGATATTTTTAGCATGTAGTGCTATTGTTGCATTGTGCATGCATATGAATTCGATTTTTTTTTTTTTTAAAGAACAACATGAGTTTGTCACTTTAATTATTAGAAATATAGAAGATTGGAGCTCTCGCAAACTTGAAATAGGAAAATGCTTAGTCATACAACATTGTTAATATGGACAATAGGCCGCATAGGCCTTATGGATTAAACGGACTAACAAACCATACAAACAAAGATAGGTCTCCAAAATTTGTGAGTCCCCTCCCAAGTCCCAAAACAGCAAACCAAAGAATCAAATATCAAATTGCAAACTGAGATTTATCATCAAGGTCAACAACCTCATCATGAGTATCACTACCATCAACATCAACAACATAATCACCATCCTTGCATCTGATGCCAAGCCATCAGAATCAGGGTTACCCCCCCTCCTTTTTAGGAGGAGAATTGACAATTCTTTCCCATGCATGAGGCCCACCCGCAGGGGCTCCAGGACATCCACCTTGGCCAAGGGGCTAGGTGCCCGCCTAGTCCACTTACATTGGCACCAAGAGGTCCCCCTTCCAAGCACCCAAGCAGGGGGATTAGGGCCTTGGCCCACCTCAAGGCACCAGCGCCGCCTGGGTAACAAGCAGGTCATTTTCTTAAGCACTAACTAAGCAGACCTTACATTGAATGTCTAATAGACATTTGTACGAGATATAGGAAAGAAGGAAAGAAGTCCTGATTGATATTCAGAACACCAAATATAGTTATCAGAAATTTGTCGACCCTTACAAATGTCAAGAAAAAAAAAAAAACTAATACACAAATAAAGAGATCAACCCTAGTAATGAATGGATCACTTAGCTGAAACTAGGCCAGAAGCACCAAATGGTTTCAAAGTATTAACAGTTAAGAAACCATATTGCTCATTAAAAAATTATGAAGTCAAATATAAGGCACAAATAGGGAAAAAGTTATGATCCATGGATAAATCAAGAAAATATTACACAATAATTTTGAAGAACCTAGGTAAGAAGCACGCAGAAAAGTTTTTATCAATCAATGTTAAATAATCCTGAAAATTCCTTTAAATAGATAAATTAACTGAAAAAAGTGAGAATTTGATTGAGGGGAGCAACAGTACTCTTTATCTAAAACCAATTTTTAATCAAACGAGTGTGATTTTCAATTACTGGACCAACTGGAAAATCCAACATTTAATTTAACAAATCAAGGAAAGCAGAAAACAAAAATTTGAAAGATCAATTATCCAACCGAACCCAGGCCTTATTCACATTGAAAATTTTACTGAAGCTATGCCCTGCTAAGGCCAAAAAAATTAAACAAATCAATTAAGGGGAAAACTCAAACTTTCCTTTGAGAAAGGACTTCTACTAAAACCTGAATAGAAGATCCAGGAGTTCAATCCATAAAAAGGCTTAATTTTTCTTTAAAATGGTGCCTTTACCAAATCAAGAGTTGGTTTAAACAATAATGAAACTAATCGAGATGATTAAACAAATACTTTTGCCAAACCCCAAAAAAAAATTTGATCCATCAAATCGACCCAGAAACTCAAAGCTTTCTTAAAGCTGCCATTTTTACCAAACCCATTATGTTCACATCCTATAATTCCATATTAATTGACACCCTAACCTTTGCTTGTTTTTTTGAAAGCAACACCGAACCTTTCCGAAACTCTGGGTTATAAACTAGCAAACGACACTAGATTGAAAATGAACCATCCTCCCCTCTAGATGAATGATTCAAAAGCACAATTTTTCTTCTAAATTTGATACCTTTACTAAATCCATAGAAAAATACAAAATAAATTAAAAAAAAAAGAAAAGAAAAAGGATTAACCAACAAAAAGAATCAAATTCTTATATCTCAATGAATGGAACTAAGAAAAAAACCGATTAATAAGAACAAGAAGAAAGCACATACCTTGACGAAAATATTAACACCAAAACCAATAGATTGATCATACGAATACAGAAAGAAGAAGATATCTTGATTCAAGTAAAGAAAAACCTCACCTTTCTTTCTTTCTCGACAATTCGACGAGCAAGAAGCCTGAACTAGATCATCTGAAGCATAACCATCTGCAACAGCAGGTGGATCAGAGGGATCAGGAGATGAGCCAGGGTTATTCGAGCCCGTGTAATGGGTGAGGTTCCCCATACTAGCGCTCTTCTTGATGGAGCCATCAGTTAACCTAACACCAAAGAGCCTCACCACTCGAGAAGGGCAGGTCCTGGAGTTATGGCCGTTGTTGCTACAGTGAGAGCACCGCCTGGTCATGGCGATGGCGAGATCGGCAAACGCCGGGCATAAAACGCAAGTGAGAGAAAGGAAATGCTACAAGCTCCCCCTTTCTCTCTCTCTCTAGGCTCTATCCCTTTCTCTCTCTACTGCTTTCGTTTTACGGTGACCTTATTCAAAAAGGGAAGACGGAGAAAACCTTCTCTCTCCCCCTCTCTTAGTTTCTCTCTCTAGGTTTTCTTCTCCAAATGCTTCTCTCTCTAGGTTTTTGAGAAAATCTGGTTCGTGATCGAGGGTTTTCTTTTTGAGGTCTGTGTTGTTTCCTTTTAAAGGGGACGATCGTGGGATATGCAGAACTTGCGTTGGAACACGCGTCGGTGTTTTTAGAGAGAGAAAGGAAGAGAGAGGAGAGAGATTGAGGAAGAAGTGGGAGAGGAAATGCCTGAATTTAGAAAAGAGAAACGGACATGTCCGGATTTAGAGAGAGAGAGGAGAGAAGTCAGGCTTTTTCCATATTTTAGAGAGAGAAATGCGAACATTCGCACGATTTAGAGAGAGAAACTGAAAGATCTTTAGAGAGAGGGAGATGAAGAGAATAAGTAAGTTGTCGGGGTTAGTGGCCAATGTGCTTCAATCACCAAAATGCACAAATCTTTTGTCTAAATGACCGTTACTAACGAGACTGATGTGAAATAAATCTGGCTGGATGTTTGGAAAAATGAGGAACAAGCCAATGAGAGTTCGAGGACGCCACGGAATTCGTCCGATAAAATGAGAAAATATACGGCCACAAATGGCTTTTTATTTAATGGAAAATTTCGTAAGGAATTCTAATTCATGGTATTATTTTACGGTAGATTTTTTTTCTGTTTTTTATTTTAAGTGGCATAAAAAAACTTTAAAGATTTCACCATATCCCATTTTTTTTTATATGTTTCTTTTATTTATTTTGATCATAAAAAATAATCTCAAAAAATCTTTTTATACTATTTCAACTCAAAAAAAAATTTAATCGATAAAAAACAAAATTAAAAATTTTAAAAAAAAATGGATTGAAATGATATAAAAACATTTATTTGAGCTAATTTTTATAGTCAAGTCAAAAATCAATTAAAAAGTGAGATAAAAGAAGAGTCGAAAATCAATTATTGAGTGAGATACGAGAAAAGGGGATCGGTTGAAAACTTTAAGGGTTTCTTATGCTTTGAAAGGTAAACGGAATGAGGTTTCCTATGAGAAGTTAGAGTTCTATTTTAAAATTTTCCCTTTATTTAGGAACGACTTGTACGACTTGTACTCAAGTGGAAATATAGAAATTCGAAAATATCAACAAAATTTCCTATTTTACCCCTATCGGATTGAAAAGAAAAAGGGTGAAATTTTCCCTTAATACGTCACATGCTTGAGTAAAAGAGCTGAGTTGTATTAGTGATACAATATAAAATTACAGTGAATACTGCATCGACAAATTAACTACGTTTTAGTGAAAAATAAAAATTTAAAACGGAATCACAAGAAGAAAGAAATAAAATGCGCAGATAATAGTATTTCGGCACGGGCTTATAAACAAAAAAAAAAACAACACCTACAAAAGGACATATCTCTCTCTACAGGAAACAATTTTTTTATTCCATAAAACTCAATTGTCAATTATAATTCACGTGCTCTTTTTTAAAGGAGTTTACATTCACACCCCTAAAGATAACTACTAAAAACTATTATCTATTGTGTCTAAAAGATAAATCATAATTTCTTATTTTTATGCCTCCATCCCAAGATAGGAACAAATATAAAAGATATAAACAAAAAACACATTTGTGGTTCCTCATACTCTCATATTCAAGTAATTGGCCCTTACAAAGATTTTCCTTATCATTTATTTAATATAAAATTTACTGGCAAACAACACCAACAAAAATAACCTTGTTTTAGATAGAGAAGTAAAAATCTATAAGGAAATCACAAGAAGAATGAACACACGTAGATACGAGTATTCCGGCGCGGGCCTATAAACACAAGGGAAGAACAACACCTACAAAGGGGCCTCTCTACAAGAAACACATTTTCATTTCATAAAATTCAATTCTGAATTACAATTTACGGGCTCATTTTTAAAGGAGTTTGCATTCACACCCCTAAATATAACTACTAAAGACTACTATCTATTATGTCTAAAAGATAAACCATAACTTCCTATTTCCATGCCTCCATCCCAAGATAGGAGTAAATATAAAAAATATAAACAAAAAACACATTTATGGTTTTTACTAAGACTCTTCTATTCATGTAACTTGCCTTTACAAAGATTTTCCTTATCATGTAGTTATAAAAGTGATGTACCGCAAAAATTCACTAGAAAAGAGTGTTTTAAAGTTGGAATACCTTCCGATAGATCATTTCAACCTTAAGATAGATATATATATATATATATATATATATATATAAAACCTAGTCATTATAATGATGCATCTTGTAATAAATTATATACACAATAGTTTTTCAAGGTTTTCAAATGTTTATGTATTTGCTCGATCTGTGCCATTTTGAAATTTTAAATTTAATAATGGTTGATTATAGATTTTCAAGACATCGTAAGATTCTCGACACTCGACTACAGACAAATTTTAAGGTGCACCTTACTTGTATATAATATAACGGGAGCATCTTATTCAAACCACACCCTTATTAAAAATTGATCCTGCAGATGTTAAATATAAAAAGGTAAACATTCGAGATGACTCGTGTCCTTTAATTATCCTAACACTAATTATGGAATCAAAATTTAGCATTGCCTTAGCACTGCTTTTTAATTTTGCAGTTAAATTTAGCACTGCCTAAGCACTTCTTAAATTTGTAATCAAAATTAGCATTGTCTTGGCACTTCCTTTTCTTAAAATTTAGCATTGGACAATCTCCAAATTTATCTAAAAAGTAATTTATACACAAAAATAGGGGATTCAGTTTCGAGACTCCTAAAATAGATAGATGGATTGCCTAAAATCTTAATAATGAATGATTCTTTCATCTAAATAAGCGGAATTACTTTATCACCTTAATATTCAACTATCAATAATAGGATAACTTGAATCTTTTCTCAATAAGGCTGTATTACTGGTGGATTTGTGTACATTGCACATAATAAGTTTATATAAGGATGAGGTCCCAAACCATCAAATTAAGGTGCACCTCAAAAATTCACTAGAAGAGGTTGTTTCGAAGTCCAAAAATCCTCAAATCGATAAACTTGACCTCAAGATATACAGATATGAGAAAACATGGATTTCAAGTTTTGGAAATAGTGCTTCTTGTAATCCATTATTTGGATCGTCAATTTTTAAGATTATAAAGTGTTTCTAGATTGACTCAATCTATACTAATTGGGCAAGCTTTCTATGCTTCCCCAACAACATAAAACTTATATACTTCCCACTTATCCAACAGTCCATTCTGATATAGAGGGTTAAGATTGCCCCAATCACAATGTCACGTCTTTGCACTATTTTCTTTTTTATTTTTTTCTATAAACTATTTTGACACCAATTTTTTTTACATCCAATCCTCTATTAAACTCGCACTAGTGAAAAATATTAAACAAATATTTCCAAAAAAATAAAATTCAAAGAGCGAAACAAACTATTAGATGTATTGTCATTTACATGAAATATCCATGAAATATTAAAAAAGTGTTAAATTGGAAAAATATACAAGAGACCATTACATATAATAAAATGGTCTCTTTGAAGATCACATGCCTTATGCTTTCTTTACCTACAGATTCGCCTTCATTTTATGGGAAATTTATCTAAATCCTCAAGAGAGATTAGCTATTTAACATTTCACCCATATTTTTGAATTAATTGTAAAATACTTATCAAAATACACATGATCATAATTTGGAAATAATTATAAATGGGTAAATTGTTTAAATAACTAATATCTTAAGGTTATTTTGATAAATTTTTCTTATTTTTAATGATACTTGTCCATCCTTTAATTGCAGTTTAATATGTATATAAAGATAGATTGGTATTTAGATGAGATATTTAGCGCATACAATCCTACACAATTGACTATTGACTTTAAGTCCCGTTAAAAAAAAACAGAAAACAAAAGACTATTGACTTTAAGTCTCCCAAGTTACTTCTAGTTTCTTATCATATAGAAGTAAATCATACTAAATCAATAGACTATTGACTTTGAGTCTAAACAGTCTATTGATGGTGATGGTCAAGATTTAAGATGAATAGTGATAAGAGGTAAAAAATAAAGTCTAAAATAGTTTATATTTTTGGTTCAGGATCAATTTTTTTAAAATTCATGATCGAGGTGGTTGAGATTATAAATCTTTAAAATTTTAGATCCAAAACCTATCTCCAACATAGATTCTCAAATACGATTCATTTGAATTTATAAGAGTTTTATTCTAGGGTGGGATTTGTATAAGGCCGAGGCCTTAAACAATAAAGCGTACAATCAAATAGTATCGAAAGATGTTGTTTTAGTACCTAAATCTTTATGATGGCCCAAAAATTGTTGTTTATCTAAAATTATACAATTTAAAGCTTAAAAAATAGAGTAGATCAAGGAGATCTAAAAACATTTAAAATTGACGACCTAGATAATACATTACAAGATGCACTATTTCTAAGACTTGAAGTCTTTTTTTTTTCTTTCACTTATCTCAAGGATCAAATGATCAAATTTGAGAGTTTTTCAGCATCGAAACAACTTCCTCTAGTGAATTTTTGAGGGGCGCCTTAATTTGATTGTTTTAGGCCTCAACCTTATATAAACTTTGTCATTTATTCCAATTTGAGAAAAATCAAACTATAACTAAATTGCCGGAGAAAGCTTGTCCCAGTTTGGTAGTTTTTTTTATATAATGGTGTTTATGCTTTTTGGTTAGTCTGAAATCCATGTTAAGTCTTTCACTTTATAAACTTTGAATGTGAACAATTTGTCCAAAACCTTTCTTGTTTATTAGTTGACTCTGTCTTTAGTTGGAAATAAGCTATGCTTAGATTGGCTTCTGAGGTGATTTGATCTCCCATTAGCTAAAATTGGGAATAATTATGAGTTTAAAGTTCAAGCTACTTTCGTCTTAAGTAACGATAGATACAAGTTTAATAAGATAAATGCATTACCTCATTGAGCTACGCTCTTTTGTTAATCATTTTAATAAAGAAAAAGCGTATATAAGGTTGCAACTTTATGCTATAGAGAAAAAGCACTTTATGCTATAGAGAAAAAAGGTATATAAGGGGCAACTTTATGCTGTGGAAGTAAGGTGCACATCAAAAATCCAATTGAAAAGAATGTTTTGAAGTCGGAAAACCTTCCAATTATTCATATCAGCTTAGAGATTTATGAATGAAAAAAAACAAATGAAAAAAAAATTTCAAGTCTTTAAAAATTACATCTCGTAACAAGTTATCTTTGACTGTCTATTTTCAATATTTTCAAATATCTATAGGTCTATTTGATTTACACCTTTTTAAAAATTTATATTTCATAATTAGGGTTGAACATGGAT